GAGAAGTACATTTGCGCATAAAGCGCAATGTACTTCGTGCCAACGGTATTATGGGTATTATGACGCTCTCGTCTAACATTGTCATTATTGTATGATGCGAAAGAGGCCCAAGGTCCTCAATGGTTGGGCATCACCAACTCCTTCTTCGTATGAAAAATCATTTTCACTGTGACGAATCAGAGAAAATTATTTCCCTCACAATTTCCATTTTTGCTCATCATTAGAAAAAAAATTCTCTCATCCTTGGAGTCAGCTGACGGGCTCAATAATTACCTCATTCGATAGATCAGAAATATTGAATAAAAAGACGACCCGTTTTGCCCCTATACTTATGAATAAAAAAAAGAATTAAACGAAAAAAATTGAATTTTTTGTTAAAAGATTTTTTCAAGTTTTTAAGATAATTATGGGGCAAAGAGGGTCATTTTTTTGGAGAGTTGTTATCGACCCCAATCGTCAAGAACTTTTAAAAGAGGAATTTTGCGATTTTTAGGGTTTTTCAGAATTAATTTTAAAATTAGTAAAAAGTGATGTCTGGAGTAATAATGATCCCATGAACTGGACAAAATTTTCCATCAAGATTTTTCTCGGTAAAGGCCAAGACAAAATGAGTCACTAAATAGATTCAACTATTTTAGTGTAAATTTTCCCGACTGTTGAGCGAAACAAAGAGAGCGTTTATTCGGGGAGAAGTATTTTCCCTGAGGGGTCATGTCCCCAGATGACCCCCAAACTTCCGGAATTTGTTGAGTGTCATTATCATTGAGCCAGGGCCAGACCTTTACTCGTGACCAAGATAATGGTGAGAAGAGCGAAGGGCCCAGGACCAGGCGAGAAAAACCGGATTTGGGTTTGGGATAAATTTAGAAGGCAAGTAGCACTCAAGGCCAAGGACTTGAACATCTTCGAAAAATTTTATAGCTTGGACTTATTCATCCTCGAGGGCATCCGATGATGTGTTGGAGATTACAGATTCAACGAGAAAAGGTTGAGGGAATTTTTTGCAGAGTAGGGAATTGTCGGGTTGAAATGTCTATTAATTTTCACCTGACACCAGTAGCTTTTGAGATAATGTCATAATTAAGAGTGTGATTTGCCGAAAACTAGAGTTAATATCGGCGATTTTTGACGACCTCAACGGTGAATAATTCATGTTCTTTTGATGGATCAATCAACTTACCAATCAACTTTAGAAAAAATAATCATGATTCACCATTGGAGTATTTATCAAAACAAAAATGTCCGGCGAATTGATAGAGCATGTCCCAACGAACAAATTCATCCCGAGTGCATTGAAATCGTGTGAAATATGTAACAATGTAAACATTCTTCATGACGTACTATCCTTTGAAGAACAAAAAAATTCCTCGCGATATTTTATGCGCGTGCCACAGGCGCAAACTCATAATGCAATTAGAGGATGTGCAACCAGTGACCTTGGCCGTTCAAGTGTAAATTTCAGACGGAATTGTTTCTTCCATTCCTTCACACCAGAGCACGGGCATTATCGACCTCCCCCTCCTCCCTCCCTTCATAGCAATAAAAATGTTCTGTCAAAATCAACGGAAGAAAAAAAACTATCCACTTCGTTCCACAAAAAAATCACCACCGATTTACTCATCACCGGGGCGAAATGGGCCGTTAATAACTTTCAAAACCCAGCGCTGAATGCCCCTATCTATCCAGCCCACCAGGTATTTCATTCCTCAATTAAATAGTTACCAACAATTACCACCGAGCAGTCATGAATCATTCAATTAAATGGCCCGAGTACGTCTCACGTTTTAATGAAGAATAATCCAAGAAAAAAACCTCATCAAATTAGTTATGATAAAACTCGACTCCTGGGATGACTCATGACATTCTTCCATGATAAAGTCGTATCAAAAATTAGCAATTTTGACGCGCGGAAAAAAAAGAGAGGAATGAAAATGATAGCAGAGAGAAATAAAAATTGCAATCACATGTGGACAAAAAAATAAAGGTTCCACCAAAACATGATAATTTTTGTAGTAGTAATTGTTCTCGTGAGTAAACAAATAAATGTATCCCGTGGGTAAATAAATTCGTTATGCAGAGAATTATATGTGGCTTCGGTTTTATCAAGTGTTCTCACTGGGAACATATATTTTTTCGGCAGAACTTTTTTTTTTCCCTCAGTGTGAAATGAAGATTAAAAACCACTCCTGTGAACTTCCTATTTATTCATTTTCTCACTCACCCAGGGGAATTCTTCACAACCGTTACGTACCGTTACCGAAGATTGCAACTTTGAACGAGTCTTGGCTAGTTTATATTTATAGACTGACGTAAATAAAAATATTGAAAAGCACGAAAATTGTGATTACAGGGTATTTGCAGTGACGGCGAAGACAATAACTTCAGATGATCTTCCATGCGGAAAAAATATTGAATGGGGATATTTTCTGTACTTTTCAATAAAAAAAAATAATTGGAATAGATCGTTTGGACTACCAGGAGGCCAGTACATGAAAGATTTTTCAATTTTATCGTTTTGTTTATTTCGTAAAAATTAATCATCGCGGGCGATCAGTCCTTATACCAAAACCACGTAACTTCATTCAATTTAGCATTTCATTAATTTTTTTAATAATAAAAAATGATTCGGAAATTTGATATAAATTATCGAATGGGGATATTTCATGATTTTTTTTTCGATCGAGAGATCATGGAAATAGCATCATTTCGTTCATTTCATTAAAATATCCTTCCTAGGGAGGGATAATGAGGTCACACCTGCCTATACTTCGGGCTTGACTCAAAATAAATAAATAAATAAAAGAGAATAAATTGAGGTAAATCATCGGGGCTGATCAATCATTTTTTTGTCCATTTATTTGTGACATTCTTTAAATATAGTGTATTTCATCACTCGTGCGTAAACACTTTTGCCACGAGTGTCGAACCCGATTTTTTATCACAGAGTGTGAAAAGTAGGATTTTACGAACAAGAGATGAAAAAACGTTATTATTCATACCAAAACAACATAACTTCATTTCTCTTCATCGCATTGATTTAATTTATCAAGACGCTAAACCGACCACAGATGGCGTTGACAGACCAGAGGTGTGACGACACTCAAGGTGATCTGAGCATTTTGAATTCATAATTTTTCAATCATTTTTTAAATTGAAAAAAACCATTCGGAAGATTTCATCTTGGATGTAGCCATAATTAGACATGAATTATAGAGGATAATTAATGCGAGGATAAAAAATTGCATGAAATATCTCCATTGACAATGATAATTGGACTGATTGAACCCAGATTCACACATGATAACAGCGCAAAATAAATATTTATGATTTTCAATCCGCGTTTTTATTTCCAATCTTTTTTCGCATGCAAATCTTTTTTCATCTCACTTGACCGATTGTTTCCACTCGTTGCGCGTGGCAGCAAATCATCATAATTGAGTGGTGGATTTCTCAGAATATAATAAACGTGGTGTTGAGGAAATTATGGGATGTAAAAAATAGCGAGAGATGATGAATAAAAAGAATTATGATGATTGAAAAAAAAAATTAACTTTTGGCTCTAGAGAGGGGGCAAAAATTCCCTCGTTGAGTGGATCGAAATATTTCGCATTCAATTAAAAAAAAATTAATACAAAAAAAGAAATTTTTCTTTTTTTTTTGAGACTCAAAAACAAATTTTCCACAAATATTTCCTCTTCGTGCCTTCTCCATAAAATTGGAAATAAATTTTTCTACTTTGAAAATACATTAATTATCGAACCGATATCTAGGGATTCCAAAGAACCCGTTGAATGTTTCCAAGAAACGATTTACTCAGATCATAATAAACCTCCGGTAAATCATGAGTATTATCTTCAAGACTCCCTGAGGTATTTAAGTATCCTGAACCAGTCTTAACGGGCAGCTCTCCAAAAATCCGTAATTAATCCGTGGAAATGCATATGCTGGCCTAGGCGTCAGTCGTGTGGACCGTTAGCCCCTTCTAGGCGCCTCGAGACAGTGACCTTATGTCACTACATGGAGCCTTCAACCCGAAAACCAAACAACAAAACAGTCCCATCATTTCATCACGTATGGTAAAAACACTTCACTATTATTAATCAGTGATATCAAAAAAACGTTTAAAAATCAATTAGAGATAATTTTGAGTGTTAGCTAATATTATTCAAAGGACCTTGGGAATTATTTCGTTAATTAGCAAGGGAAATTTAACATCTAATTTTTTTAAACGAGCTGTCTAGTTCTATTTATCACTGACTAATTGAGAAAACAAAATAGAAAAATTAAAATATTCAATTATCTTCATCGATATCTCTTTTTTTTTTAATTCAGTGACGAGTTTCCAGATTTATCAAAAAATTGAATGCAAAATGATTAAAAAATTGAAAATAAAAAATTTCGAAAATTTTCGATTTTTTAATTTTTTTAATGGTTCTGAAAATCATTTCATTGAATATCCAGAGAAACTTTGCAGGCGATTAAAAAAAAAAGACTTCCCTATTTCTTTCCAAATAATTCCGAAAACTAATTTCTTTCCAAAGCATTGTCTTTTTCGAGAAAAAAAGATCGTCTTTTAAACAATTCAATGTCATTTTTTCCAATTTACAGAGCAAATAAAGAAAAATATAATAATTAAAATTCCTCCAACAGCTAAGAAAATTTTTTGAAAGAGAAAATAAGTTTCTCCCAAAAACAATCATTTTTCCTCACAATTCCACCCAGGAAAATAATTTTCCCGATTCATCAGATTTCCAAAAAAAAATCCCTAATTTCCAAGGACAAAAAAAATATATTCCACCGAAAAATGAAAAAAATATCACAACAAAAATTAAAAATCTGAAGACCAACGAAAAACGCCTCCCCCCGGCCCGCTGGGACTCATGTCAGTCCACGGAACTAAAACTCGAGGGGTGGGAGTCACCTCCAGGTCCCTCAGGCAGGCTGCGTGCCCGCGCCAGGGGTATATAAGCCGTCCCCGGCCATTCCTACCGACACACGACCGAAACCTCCCTGACAGAGCGGTCCCCCTCGAACGCGCACGCGCCCAACAAAAATTCAAAACGTAAAAAAACCCCCCGTAAACCAAAAGTTAGCTCACGAAACCCGAGGAAAAAAATCAAAGTTTGGTGCACCGCCTGTGTTTCGTTAATTCAAAAGGACTCTCCAACGAGTGAGTATACAATTACCTTCAAATTGCCTCTCTCTTCTCCCCCACCACAGCGGTGACAAAAAAAAATTGTGTTGCAAATCTCAAATATAAATTGCGCAATTGTCATTTCGTAATAATAACCATCAATTATCTCAGACCTCTCTCCGTTCACCGCAAAACACGAAATGAAACCCGTGAAAAAAAGTAAAGACAAGATGACAAGGTTCACAAGGGTCATCAATAATTCGTCAAAATCCTTTTCCAAAGTCAAAACCTTTCAAAAACGCTGTAAACCGTCAACGGAAGAGCGACGTCCCCTCCCGACAATGACATCTTTGTACGTTTCATTGTGTCACCATTAAGAGAATCTGATGATTCTTGATGAGGTAATAGGGGGTCTCTGGCATTTCCTCCTGTCACCCTTCCAATACTTTTAATCTTTCCAATTCCCACCGTCATTCCACATTTCCAGCATCAGATCCACCGATTGACAGACAGCCGCCAGGCCCCAGCATCCTGTCATTACCAGCGATAATTCTAAAATTGTCACCGTCTGGTTGGCTTCCAGTCAAACGGTTCAATGTCACCACAATCCCGAGCATCAATCATCATTTGAAGCGGTCTAATCTCCAAAATTATCTCCTCCACAGATTGAATTATGAAGTACGTGGCAGTAGTACTGTGCGCCGTGGCGCTGCACCAGGTGTTGTCGATGCCAGTTGCCGAGCAGGAGCCCCTGCCAGTGGTGCCCCTGGAGAGTCAGCAGGTCTTGAGGCGAGAGACAAGTGAGACGGTGAGCGAGCACAAGGAGGGCGAGACACCGGAGGAGCATGCGGCACATCAGGAGGCAGCAGCGAGACACGTTGACGAAGCTAAACCTGAACTTGAGGAATCTGTGAAATCTGCTGAAACGATCACAATTGAGGAGGTAGTCGAGCTGAAGGAGGAACCGAAGAGCCCTCAAGCCCAGGAGGTGCGATCAGCCCCGGTGGAGGTACCCGAAGTGCCGGTTGTAGCTGCGACTCCGGCCGAATCTAAGGTATGTGACGACTGTTTCTGATTGTTTTCAACGTCTCGATTCCCTCGATGATCTATCCGATCAAGAATCAAATTATTCTGACCTGAATTGTCATCCTTTCAGGCCGAAGCCGTCCCTGAAGTTAAGAGTGTGCCAGTAGAAGAACCAGTGGTAGACGAAAAAGTCGATGAACCTAAGCCCGTGGAGCAAACAGCCCCTGTCCAGGAGTCAACACCAGCCGTGAAATCCGAAGCCCCTGTGGAATCGACCGTCCCTGTTACATCAGACACAGTTCCAGTCGAAGAGAAAACGCCTGAGGCTGTTATCAGCGAGGAGGCTAAACCCGTTGAGGAGAAGAAAGAAGTCAAACCCGAGAACACAGACCGCGTGACCCGTGGAACTGAGGATGCCAAACAAACAGAGACACCGGTGTCAGCTCCAGTTGAGCCAGTAACAGTTCCAGAAGTAGCTGCCACTGTATCTGAATCAGAGAAGAAGGAGGAAGAGAAGAAGCCAGAGGAGGAGAAGAAGATTGAGGCGGTCGAGGCGGAGAAGAAGGAGGAGGAGAAGAAGCCAGAGGCCGAGACCACACCAGCAGTTGAAGGCAAACCAGAAGAAAAACCAGAACTCAAATCTGAAATCAAAGAGGAGCCAGTGGTGGCAGCAACAGAGGCTGTAGAAGAGCCAAAGAAGGACGGCGAGAAGGAAGTAGCTGTTCCCATTCAGGGAAAATCAGACGAGCCAATAGTCGAGGCCAAGAGATCAGCTGACGAGAAGATTGAGGCAGCTGAGAACAAGTCAGTGGACAAGGCACCCCAGGCCAAGTCTGAGGACATCATTGAAGCTCAACCTGAGGCCGCTAAGGAGGCAGTCCCAGAGCCCCAAAAACCAGCTCAAGAGGCTGTAGAAGCTGCCAAGGAGGAGAAGAAAGAAGAGAGCAGCGCTGAGGACAAATCGAGCGAAGAATCCCTCGAGAAGAAACAAGCCGAGGCTAAATCAGCTGTTACCAGCTCATCGGAGGAGTCAAAGGAGGACAAAAAGGAGGAGAACAAGGCTGAGGAACTACCCAAACCCCAGGAGCTCGGAGAGAAGCAGGAATGATCCTTCTGTACTCACCCCTCAAGCAAAAATCATCAGAAGAAAATATTTTTTATTAATTCTCCATCCAACTCAAAATGTGTGATTGATACTTGTTACGATTGCTTTACATGAATGACTCTCATTATGAGACAAGAGTACGAATGTATTCACTTGACTGATTGAACATTTTTTTTCTTTTTCCTTTATAAACGAGAGAATGTGAAACAATTCCTTTCTTGTTTGAATAATTTTTCATCGTGAAGAATTTGAGAGATTGTCACGACGAGACGTCTTGCCACTCTCCCTGGCGCGATACGACCTCGGGTAAGAGAATTTTTTTTCTTTTCAAATGGTGAAATAATTTTCTTTATTATAAAATTAATCGTTTAACCGAGCTCGAACCACTCGGGATGGTGGCATTTTTGCGAATTATATTTTGTCGCTCTTCGTCACAATTTTTCCTTATGCTGTAATTTTTTTTTTCCGATATAATTTTTATCCAAGAATCCATTTTCTTCGCATCCCCCTTCACCCCTCCAAACTTCCTTCAAATCCATCCTCCGAACATTTTGTTCCTCTAGATGTTATGTGTCATGACTATTGAAAATATTATTTTACATTTAGATGAGAAAAATAAAGTGGAAAAATGAAAAAAAACGAATGGATCAGTAGTACTATATTTTATTATATTAATATTGATCAATGATTTGTATTATTGAGATATCAGAAACATCGTTACTGTAATAATAATTGTGTATTATTATAAATTGTGGCTTTCTATTTATTTATTTTGTTTTGAGGTGGCTCATTGTTGGAGATTGTGGCAAGTGATAAATGAGTGATAATCGGATATTTCCGTTTTGAATTTGGAATAGTGGGAAGGGACGTGTGAAAGATGACAGTCAACAATGACTAATGTGACGATGGTGGGGGAGTAACACTGGATATCTTGGAAAATTTATCATCGAGATAAAAAAAAAAAAAAAAAAGATGGATTTGACCAAAAAAAATCCAGTCCCCGGAAAAACCGAATGGAAAAAAGTAAATCCCATTGTATTTTTTTCCAGAAATCTTCCCGATTTTTAAATGAAAGTAATGGCAGCCTCTCACGGCCTCAGCATCAAGCTAAATTCTACATAAACTATTATGCAAATGTCAAGAATGTGGAAAAGTTCACAAGAATTAGCGGATAAATCATGAGTTTGTAATTATTTAAACAAAATACCAGTGTATGGAATGCAATGATCATGAGGACATCTGTTGAAATGTCAAGGGATATTTTGCAATAACCAAGGTGTCAGTACTGATCGCATAATGAGATAGAACAATCTCTCGGTATGTGAAAACGTTCTTGTTATTCGTCGCTAGCTATTCAGTGACAAATAAATTTTGTCTCGCATCTGCTTCCGTGGCGCAATTGGCTAGCGCGTTCGGCTGTTAACCGAAAGGTTGGTGGTTCGAGCCCACCCGGGAGCGTTTTTTTTTTTTTCATCGGAAATTTTGACAATTCAATCTCTGATAATTCTTGGGTATTATTGATCATGTTAAAGTCGTTTTTGGGGGAACATCGTAGCTTCCGTGGCGCAATTGGCTAGCGCGTTCGGCTGTTAACCGAAAGGTTGGTGAAACCGATCTCATCAACCAATTTTTTCCCTCCAATCATGGTGTGCGCAGTCATAAAAACAATTCCTCATCCCGAAGACTCAAAAGACTCCAATAAATATGATTATCCTCTTCACTATTTGGAATCAATGACACCTCCGTCCGTTACGTGACCTCAAGCCTTGATAAACATGAGAATCATAAACTGCCAACAGTCATAACCCACTCTCTTCACACTATCCCACTCGTAAATGAAATAATTCCACCTCGAGGTCTGTTTAGTCTGCTCGTCTTAATATTAATGTTACACTTGCGACATGACACCTATCCATTTCGAAATAGGACATTGAATAATCCTAGAGATTTTAANCATCGGAAATTTTGACAATTCAATCTCTGATAATTCTTGGGTATTATTGATCATGTTAAAGTCGTTTTTGGGGGAACATCGTAGCTTCCGTGGCGCAATTGGCTAGCGCGTTCGGCTGTTAACCGAAAGGTTGGTGAAACCGATCTCATCAACCAATTTTTTCCCTCCAATCATGGTGTGCGCAGTCATAAAAACAATTCCTTATCCCGAAGACTCAAAAGACTCCAATAAATATGATTATCCTCTTCACTATTTGGAATCAATGACACCTCCGTCCGTTACGTGACCTCAAGCCTTGATAAACATGAGAATCATAAACTGCCAACAGTCATAACCCACTCTCTTCACACTATCCCACTCGTAAATGAAATAATTCCACCTCGAGGTCTGTTTAGTCTGCTCGTCTTAATATTAATGTTACACTTGCGACATGACACCTATCCATTTCGAAATAGGACATTGAATAATCCTAGAGATTTTAAATCATCAAAATTAATGGAGTTGACCACTACATGGCCTCGAACAAAATTAACAGTCCAGGTTTTTCCCAAATACTTCCTCATAAAAAAAACCCTCTCATCAAGCCACGATGATCATGATTAATCGATAAATTATTGAAGAAAAAAAATGTTCATTGACCCCGACGTGATTTGAACACGCAACCTTCTGATCTGGAGTCAGACGCGCTACCGTTGCGCCACGGAGTCTTTATATCTTGTGAACTCTAGTATTCTAACCATACTAGCCAGGTAGGTGAGCCAAATAGATAGCTTTGTTGATGGAAATAATGTGTCGGTAAGGAAAATACCTACCTCGTCTAAGAAGGATAATGCCGAGATAATGAGATATTTATTTTGTCATATTAATTTAAATTGACGAAAAATTGAGGGAAATAAATTGATTGCCCTGAAGAGGAGTGGGATTTACCACTCGAAACGTTGGCAAATGAACGATGAATAAATTGCTAATTTAATTTTTGAGTTTTTTAACATTGTCAATTATGTCACAACTGTCTCAGGAACGTAAAAGACACGTGAAACTTGAAATTCCCGGTTTGTAATTGTGCCAGATCTTCTCGCCACTTTCATTGCGCAACGAAAAATTTTGCAATTGCATATTGATATTAAATATTATAGATTTGTGTTCTTACCTTGTTCGTGAGTAGAAAACAGGTCAGGACCCCCAACGACCACCAGTCGACCTCGTGTCCGTAATACTCTCTTTTTAGTATTTCTGGGGCTGCAAATCAATTTATTAAATTAGTTGTTTTTTGATGGGATTTAATGAGTTTGCGGTTTCGAATCAAATCTCTTAAATATAGAAACTCTCTTCATTAATTCTTATCCGTCACAGGAGTGAGAAAAGTGTGTAAAATGTCCATAACATTTTTTTTTATAATTTCATAAACCTGAAATATTTAGAGGTGATGATGAATCTGAGAATTTTGTTGACTCACCCATGTACTCTGGAGTTCCACAGAAGGTACTAGTCCTGTGTCGGGGTCGCAACCACTTTGCTAGACCGAAATCAATTAATACTGCATGACCCTCGTCATCTAGGAGTACATTCGTTGCTTTTATGTCTCGATGGACTATCCCAGCATTGTGTAAAAAATCTGAAATGACAAAGTAACTTTTATTGATAGAAAATAAAGCCCGAAATTAAGTCCAGGGATAGTTAGAAACATTTAGAATTGAATCAGGAAAAAAAGACGCATTTTTTCTGCTGGAGAAATTACAAAATTATTATTTGAAATTATTTTTTTTATTTTACCTATTGCCAGAGCTATTTCAGCTACGTAAATCCTCACAACTTCCTCAGGTAATGTGACATGTTCGTCGACTAGTTCAAAGAGTTCTCCACCTCCCACAAATTCAGTTACTTGAAATAAATAAATAGAAATTTAATTACAAAGGTAGAATATGAGATTGATGTAACGAATTAATTTTTTCCTTACGTATGTAGAGGGTTTTTCGACCTTGCCAATGGTGTGCCGAGTGTGCGATGAAGGGGTGGTGACCCACGGCCCTCTGAATGGCCACCTGATAAAATAAAAAATATATATTAATTAATATATTACTGACAGGAGAAAGGAGGAGAAAAGCCAGTGTGGATGTAAAACAAACAACACTTTTGTAATATCAAAGAAAATAAATTGAATTGAATTGTATATATTAATCAATTTAATATATTAACTGCTAATTGCCAAAAATCTAGTGCATAAATTTTTTTTTCTTTCAATGCAAAAGAAATACCTCTTGTTTAGCCTGAGAGACTGCATTCTCCTCGACGATTCTGGACTTGCTGATCATCTTCAGAGCATAAACCTTCTTGTCCTCCTTATCCTCAACCTTGTAAACCCTCCCATAGGCTCCTTTGGAGATTATTTCGATGAATGCGTAATGGATTTTAATTGGGTCCTCTCTGACTTTGAATTCAGGGAGGAATATGGCTTCGAACCGCGGCACAGGCCACGCAGTTTTTGCTGAATTCAGGGGATCATTCAAAGTCCCTTCACTCCATCTGAAAAAAAAAATATAAAGGATGAAAAATCCGTTCCCCCAATGAATTTTCTGAATTCCTCAAGTTGTAAAAATAAATGGAGAAGAATTGAAAAATTGCATTCTTGTTTTTGCGTGAATCTCTCGAGAACTGATGGGTTTAGAGAAAAACGTTATCAGATATTTTTTGTAGAAAATTTGCGCAGCTACGAAAAATGCCTATTGATATTTTCCTCTAAACCCAGTAGTTCTCGAGATATTCCCAAAAGTCTTGTCAATGTTCAGAGACAAATTACATACGTCCTCCTGGATATTCTCGACCAAGGCCTACATTCCTCATACACCGATTCTGTTGTCCCAGTGCAGCTGATAATATTACTGAGACTGCACTATAAAAACAAAATCATTGCCTCAAAAATAAAATTTTGAAAAATGTTTCTATCAAAAGAAACAAAAATCCGCCAAAAAAACAACTTTCCAATATCATAAACAATTAAAAACATCTGATGACCGATAAAAAAGTAAAATTTTGCAACTAACCTGGCTGGTGTACGCTCTCTGCGGCCGCCTGTACCCCTTCGCCCCCGAATTTCCCATCCAACACGCGTAAAATCCCCAAAAATCACTTTTCACTTTCACAAACAAACTCTCACAAAGAAAAAAACGATAGTAAATAATCAACAGGTGCACTATTACGCCGACTAAACCCGACTGAAGCTCTCCCAACCTCCTAAAACCCGTCTTCGCAGCGTGACTTCATCGTCTCTATCGTTCTCAAGTGATACCTGACACATTCTACACTAATTGCACTTAATTCTGATTATTCTCGCATGTTAAGTCCTCATTGGCACTCTCGTATGTCAACAACAACATGTGTGCTCTCGTGTTTTTCATTGAGAAACAGCTGACGGCGGCAAAAAGGAGAAAACAAAGCTGTCGAGGTTTAGAAATTGAGCGTGGCTACCACCTGGCGGTCATTTTGTCAGCCTCGATGACTCGAACTGACGTCTGGTCAGTAAAAAAGGAAATAGGCGTATTTCATTGAATTTTTCGCAATACTTTAACAGCATCAGGATGTTTTCTTGGCAGAATAACAAAGAACACTCGATGATTGACACTTGATATCACAACTTGTTTCATCACTAATCGATGGTTGTTCGATGGTCGTTTTTTGGACGAGTGCAGTTTTTGATGCATAAGTTGACCGGTGGTCAACTAGTACTCGACTCAGTGAACAACTCGACCCCCTCGATGGATCGAGTGATCTGTCAGATTTCGATATATTTCGGTACAGACACCAAGCGATTACGATATATTTCGATACAGAGACCAAGCGATTAAGAAATATTTCGATATGAAACAACTTCACATCACTCTAAATTTTGAACGTTTCGTTTGACTTTACCGACCAAAATTGACATGGACCACCATCTGTGGGTTATTCCCGGACCTATGACGTCTTGAAATGGCTGACATTTTAGATGATTCTGGAAGTCTTCAAGTTTGTAGTTCTGGTCGAGACCATTATTTTCCCGAGTGAGGATCAGATTATTGGAAAACATGGCTGGAAGAATTGCCCTGGGACGTTCTTTCGTCCGAAAATACTCTACCGAAACAGGAGCGAAGTTCGATGTTTATGCATCACAGCGTGGATCAGACAGTGAGTAATCCTAATTATCATTTCGGCAATTTTCGTGGTTTTTCTGAAGAGAAAGATGTTGAGGGAGAATTGGAGGCTGAGATTGGGTCGGTTTTCCGAGGTATTTTAAAGTTTTTTGGAGAGATTTCGACCAGAAAATCATTCTTGAGGGGGCGATTTCGAGGGTTGAGCATTGTTTTTCAGGGTTTTTTGGAGGTTCGGAGCGATTTTCAGGAGTTAAATAGACTCTCAATCCATTATGTAATGACAATTGATTCTTGGGTTTTTCAGAGGCAGGGAAAATTTGGAAGAACGTCACCTACTTCGTGGCTCTACCAACAGTTGCACTAGCAATGGTGAATACCTATTTGATGGAGCAGGAGGAGGCGAAAACTAGGAAGAGACCTGAGTTCAAGCGCTATGACCATTTCCGCATCAGGACTAAGGTGAGATGGACAATTTCATGTTTTCAATGGTTAAATTTTTTTGGTTTTCTGCACTCACGTTTCCTCTGGTACACTCAACGATTCACCTGACCTCGATTCATACCACTTTAAATATCTTCATATCTGCAGCGTTTTCCATGGGGCGATGGCAACCACACTCTCTTCCACAACCCCTACAGGAATGCTCTCCCCGATGGCTACGAGACTGAGGAGGAGGAGCACCACTGAGAAAATCACCCCGAAAATTTTCAGTGATAATAAATCGTCAGTGATTTCTAGATTCGTTCTATAATTATTACATATGAATGTGAATAAATTAACATGAATAAAAATTCAATCAGTAAAATACGCCATGACGTCCTCATTGATCTAGTAAAAAACCCTCGAATAATCAATCATTAATTTCAACCAACAATCGTCACTCCATTTTGCCCCCAAATAAACATTAACCATGAAAATGGCTTCGAAAATACTATTTTATTTCTCCTCTATACAACCGTTTGTACTATGACTCCTCTCTCTATCTCTCTCATCTCCACAGCTTTCTTTTTATTGACATAAAATATTTTCGTATGAAAGTACAAAAGTATGAAATCCTATGCTTAAATAATAATTAATATAAAAGAAAAATCGTTATTTACGTTTTTACTAAAAAAGAAATTATCGATGATTTCTTCACTTTTTTTCATTGAAATTCTTTCTGAATTAGTGGGAACAAGCCATTTTTTCATAAAATTTAATAATGTTTTGATAGAATATTTCAGCAAAAATTAAGGTCAGGAAAATATTTTGCTTTTTCATTTCAGACTAATGAAAATCTCTGAAGTTTAATTGGAAAATAAATATCTGAACGAATTTTTTTTAAATTTCTCTGACCGTTTTCTTTTCACATTCACTAATCGAATTAAGCGGACACCACAAGACGTAAAATTATCCCTCTCGAACAAGAAATAATACTTAGAAGAAAAAATAATAATAATCATCTTCACGATGATCAGTCCCTCTCTCTCAACTGTTTCAACTCAGTGGGAATTTTCGCATCAAAAAATGTCTTCCTACGATTCCCCTTGAATTTCTCGACGATAAACTAGATAAATAACTCCAACAGACTAAAATATTATTTTCGGTTATATTTTATCAATAAGTGGGTGCAGCAAAATGAAAATGAAACTCGAGAACATTTTTTTGGGTAATATTTTTGACTGGAACAACAAATTTTCGAGATTGTTTCATTTTCAATTTTTCGATTTGTTGAGGAAATTGATTTTTTGCTCAACTCCAACTTTCAGTTTTTTGCGAATATTTCTGGAACTACTGGCTCTATCAAAAAAAAATGTCATAAGAAATTTTTATAGGAAACTAAATTTGCCACAAAAAATATTCTATGAAATTTTTTGGTGGAATCATTGGTATTTGAGATATTTCCATGGAAAATTGTAAATTGTTTCCAACGAAACAATTTACAATTTTGCAAATATTTAATAATTAATAATTTTTACAAATATCTCTCAAACTCCTCATTCTATCTCAAAACTCCAAAAGATAATTTTCCTCCAGAATTAAATTTCCCACAAAAAATGTTCCGCCACACTTTCCCCTAAACCCACTCTTCTTCAAGATATTATCGAAAATCACTCACTCACTCAAACAATCACTCACTCTCTTTGGTCAACAAATGTCCTCCCCTGTTCACTCATCCTCAATTTTCACCAGAGGTGGTCCACACGAGTCAAAATGATCGGTCCTCTCTCCACACGCTTCTCCGCAGACCAACACCAAACGGCAAAATTTACACGACAAAGTCGCCACCTCCGTCTTACACACAAGGCAGATTTTAGGTTTCTCGTCCTGAACGTTGATGTCCTCCACCGCCTCCATCCACTCCTCCTTCACAACAACTCTCTCTGCCACCCTCTCCTGAGCCTCCTCAATTCCCTCATACTGATCAATCGGAATTGACGTGACTCCAGCGATCTTCAGAGCAACTTCTTCGAATTTCTGGGAAGGGGTCTCCAGATGTATTCCCATCTCCCTGGCCATGCCATCGCACTCAATCTCGTCATCAACTAGTGAAAAACTTCCCTTCAACTGATCAATAATCTCCAGATCACCATCACTCGCATCAGACTCGTCCATTTCCTCCGGAATTTCTCCAGAAATTCCAGTACTTCCTCCAACAGACTCCGGGAATTCTTCATCGTCCGAAGAGTCAAGAGAGATCAGTGGAATTTCTTCAGGTGTTTGCGACGTTTTTCGACCTTGACAACCGGGAGCTGGAGAATTCCTTGGAGGAATTTTCGATTCTGGAGAATTTGTAATTTCAGATTTTGGGGGAGATATTTTTATGTCACTGATGATAACTGGTTTCGAAAGTCTTGACGATGGTTTGGTGGACAAGTCCAGAGGAGACCTTGGAGACCCTGGACTTGCTGGAGAAACATCAGAAGCTGGAATTATTCTGGAGTGAATATCGATTGATGCATTCTCATGAGCTGGAGTTGGAATTCTCGGAGCACTGGAATGATTTTTTGTGAGAGAAAACACTCCACGATCATGAGGAGTCGCTGTCCCATCCCTAGGAGTTGGAATTGTTCTGGACTGATGATCGATTGATGGATTCTCGTGAGCTGGAGTTGGAATTCTCGGGGTAGTGAAATGATTTTTTGCGGGAGAAATCACTTCAGGAGTTGCTGGAGAAATTCTCGTGTCTTGAGGTGTCGCTGTCCCATCCCTGGGAGTTGGAATTGTTCTGGACTGATGATCGATTGATGCATTTTCATGAGCTGGAGTTGGAATTTTCGAGTCATTGGAATGATTCTGGACTGAAGAAATCACTCCAGAAATTTCGGGAGAAATTCTCGTGGCTTGAGGGGCTGTTGTTCCCTCTTTTGGAGACTCCAGTGGAGGTGATTGATCCTGAGGTGTTTGAATGATAATTCTCGAGTTTGTCGATGCCCTGGTGCTGGTTCTGAAATCATCAATGGCGGTGACTCGAATTCTCTCCATGGCTGCCAGGGCCTCCTGGGTGTCTGAGTAGAAACTGGAGCCTCCAGTTACTCCAGCAAATGAAGAAATTCCAGTTGAATTGTGTCCAGTTTGTTGTACAGGAGTGGGCATTCGGGGAGAAGTCATTGCTGGAGATGTTCTTGGGGCTCCAGTGACTGCAGATTCATTTCCAGGGATCAATGGAACTCCTTGAGAACTCACTACAGGCGTGAATTTTGGAATGAATCCAGGTTGAGATCCAGAAAATTGTGCAATTTTGGTGGGAATTATTCTAGATGAATTTTGTGGACTTCCAGGAGAATTCAATCTTGGAGATAATGGTGATGCTCTAATGCCTCCAGGGTAAATTGTAGTAGTTGGAATCCCTGGAGAGGATCGTGAAATTCCAGCGGAGTTCACTCCAATCTGATGTCCAACCGATGTTGGAATTACAAAATCCAGGGATGGAGAGGGTCTTGAAACTCTCGTTATTCCAGCCTGCTGTACAGGTGCAGGAGTTCCAGGGGAATTCATTCCTGGAGATCTGGGTATGCTCCTTCCTCCAGTGTGAGCTCCAAGTGGAATTCCATAAGAATTTACGCCTGGAAATGATCTTGGAACTCCAACAGCTCCTGTCACTGGAGTTTCAGCAGAATTTCCTCCAACTTGAGGTCGAATTGACGTTGAAATTCCAGAATCCAGTGATGGAGAGGGCCTTGGAACTCTTGTCATTTCACTCTGCGGTCCAGTCCCTGGAATTCCAGGGGAATTTTGTCCTGGAGAAGATCTAGCAATGTTTATTCCTCCAGCCTGAGAATTGGACCCTGCAATCGATTTTGGAACTCCAATAACTCCAGTTTGGAGTCCACCCACTGGAATTCCAGGGGAATTCATTCCCGGAGAAGATCTAAGCACCCCCATTCCTCCAGCCTGATGGCCACTTGGCGGCATTCCTTGAGAATTCATCCCTGGGAATGACCTTGGGACTCCAGTAACCCCAGTCTGCTGGCCAATAGCTGCTGAAATTCCAGAAGAATTAACCCCTGAGGGCGACTTTAATCCAACATTGACTCCAGATTGATTTACACCTGTGATTGGAGTTCCAGACATTGGAATTCCCGCAGATGATGGAGGCTTCTGAGGAAAATTCATTTGTGCTCTGAATTCAGGAGTGACCCTAGTGATGGTTATTGAACTCTGTGCTGGAGAACTCTGAGGGATTTGTAAGTGATTAAACTTTGCAACTCCAGTAATTCGATCATTAGCTCCAGCCTGATTTCCAGCTGTGACGGGAGTTCCAGCCACTGGAATTCCCTCAGCTGATGGAGAGTTCTGAGGGGGAACCGTTTGACTTTTAGGCTCGGTTTTCACCCTGGTTATGGTTGCTGGAAGCTGTGCTGGAGAATTCTGGAGGAGTTGGGTGTAGATCAAGTTCTGGGAAGGCACTTGGAGATGTGACGAAGGATGATTCTGCTGGGGTAATGGCATCTGTGGACTCGATGAAGGATAACTCTGTTGAGATAGTGGGTAACATGGTCTCGATGAAGCTTGATTTCCATCTGTGGCTGGAGCTCCAGGCACTAGAATTCCCTCGGATGGAGGCTTCTGGAGAAGATTCATCTGAGTTGTAGGCTCGGTTTTGACCCTGGTGATGGTCGCTGGGCCCTGTGCTGGAGAATTCTGGAGGATTGGGGAGTAGATGATGTTCTGGGAAGGCATATGGCAATTTGACGATGGATAATTTTGCTGGGGTGATGGCATCTGTGGATTCAATGAAGGATAACTGTGCTGAGATACTTGATACTGCTGAATAGGAAAATTCAGAGGATGCTGGAGGCCCATCTGGGGCTGCTGCACTTGATTCTGAAGCTGCTGAGCCCTCTGTGGAGTCGGGCCCTGAGGGGGTTTACGAGCTTTTTGAGTCTTCTGGGGTACTTGATGCGTTGATTCAATCGTTTCGAAGTAATTCTCAACCAGCCGAGCATCCAGGTAATGACTCATATTCTGGTCCAAGCTCAATAAATGGTTCTGCAATTGGATATTCTGAGGATTTATCTGCTGATGCTGGAGTTGTCCTTGATGTTGATGAGGCACTTGTCCAGGATAAACACCAGGAACTCCACAGGCTTGATGGTGACTTCTAGATGGCTGAGCTCCTGGCATCTGTCCCTGAGACATCATGCCTGGGGGATTGACCTGCATCTGCTGGGGATGCCCCCGGGATCTTGGATCTCTTGACTGAACTCCATAAACTGCATTCTTACTCTGCTGCAACATCTCGTGGTGCCTCAACACCTGAAGACGTGTCTCGCAGTTGTTGTGGTTACACTGACCAGAGGCGCATCTCACGAACTCTGGAGGGAGAAATTGTGACTGTGGAATTGGATGAGGCTGAGGTACACCAAGGAGGGGATTTTGTTGGTTCATCTGGTGGAGCAGTTGCTGCTGGGGCATGTACTGGGGGTTCATCGGCTGGGGATGACCCTGAGGTTGAACTTCGAGGGCTTGATTTCCAGTTTGAAGCGTGTATTGGTTGTACTGCTGCATCTGGATGATGGCAATGTGCTGGGGGAATGCAGGGGGATTTGATACTCTGGGAGGATGGGGCTGTGGGGGGAAGGGCTGTTGAGAGAGGGGGGGAGGTTGTTGGGAAGGTTGTGGTGGAAATTTTGAGGGGAGTTGCGAATTTGAGGATTTTTTTTTAGGATTTTGGGGGGTGAAGGGAAGGATTTGGGGGTAGGAGGGGTTCTGGGGAGTGGGGAATAAGGATTGGGGATGGAACTGGGGCATGGGACGGGGGAGAAGTTCGGGTTTGGGATGGGTAAGAATTTTAGGGCGGATTTGGGGGGTTTGAGGGGGGGCGGAGGAGGTCTGGGGTGGGTGGACTGGTTGATGATTTCCTGGGTATGGTGGTGGTGGTGGTGGTCGAGCTGATGGGTGATGTGCATCGGTGGTCTGATGGATGACACCTAGGAAAGGAGAAGAGATTCTTGATAGTTTGTTTTGAATTGACAAATCGATAAATTCCACTCGGTTATTCATAAAGTTCAGTTGAATGTAATCTGTCGATATCTTACGAAATAGTAATGAAATTAATTATGATGTGTTTGGCACAATGCAATTTAATCACGTTGTGTGCTCTTGGGTCTCCATGAAATGAAAATGAAATGAAAACTCCCACTCAAAAAATATGAAAAAAAAAAAACAAAATTACCTCCGCCACTGTAACCCCCGCTACTTGCACTCCTCCCTCCCTCCTGGCACCGTCTCCTCACCGTCTTCTTCTCCTCTTCCTTCGCCCTCCCCACCGCCGCAGGAACCACCGGAGCAGGCACAGGCTCCGCAACAGCGACCTTGGACCTCCTCAGTGCCCACACAATCTCCTCTGCCCTGACGAAGGGTGTTTCATTTGTCCTCCTGGACCTCTCCACAATGAGCCTCACCACCTCCTCATCGACCACCCCCTCCATGGTCGCCCTCAGTTTTGTAAAGCCCTCCCTCACTCCTGCACAGACACTATTTAGAAGTCTCACCATCTCCACATTCCCCGGATGCCTCTCCACCACCTCCATGCGATACTGAAAGACCCTCATCATCCCAATCACATCCTCAAACAGTTGCTCCTGCGCCCTGTGATACCCCCGAAGGCTAGGATGAGCCGGTTCCCCCACAGGAACCGCCACCATTTCCCCCATTGGCGAGGAAACAATCCTGGGAATAATCCTATTGCCACCACGAGTGGCGACAGAAAATTCCCTGAACTTTCTCCTCGCGACTTCATTGATCTCCTCTGGAGTAAGCCCCACGTCCACCTTCTCCCCCCCATCCTGAGGCAGAAGGTCCTCCAGAGGTCTGGCACACATCTCCTCCAGTGTTTTAAGAGCATCATCAGAATCCACTCTGTTCTCCATCAAATTCTCTAAAATCGAAGGCGTCCAGTTGCGTTCAGGGCCGTTCAGAAAACTCCCTCCAGGAGACACCTCCAACGTCTTCTCTTCGTCGCTATCGCCCACCTTGTAAGAAATCTTCAAGGTCTGAGGGGGTGAAGCTTCCTTGAACTCGCCAAGCGAATTGGCCTTCTCATCAATCTCGAGTCTTCCTGGGCTCCGGGATCCCTCATCCAGGATAACGGTGTCAACACTGTGGGGGGACTTCACATCAGGAAGGCCCTCGGACTCGTCGATGTCCATGGGTTCACTCCCTTGCGACAGCTCCACAGACCCGTCCCCAATCAGAGGAATATTCTCCGCCTTAGGCGGCCCCTCTAACGCTTTTTCGACTGCTTCAATCAGGGGGACTGGCTCGTCCTCCAACTCGTGGAAGATCTCCTCATCAATGGGAACGTTGGCATTCAGCTCCTCCGGGTCGGGGGGAGGTGGGACTACTGAGGGTTTAAGAGGGAGAGGCGCCCGATTTCTCGGTCTTACAGCTGACGCCGGTTTGGGAATTTCTGACAAAATTTTCTTCTCGAGCTCTTGATTCTCCTTCTCGAGTCTGAGCCGTTTTCGTTGGAGGTAGTCGCCAGCGCGCGATGTTGAGGTCGATTTCTTCGAGGGGTTAGGCTTCCCCGACTCCACCGCCAGCCAAATCTTCGCTATCTCCTCCTCACAGTCCAGTCCCTCATCTTGGGCGGGTTCTGAGTCTTTCTGAGCGGGTTGTGAGTTTTGAGGCTCGCAAGGGGGTTCTGGGGCTGGATGACCACCTGGAGGGGCGGAATCATCCTCAGAGGGTCTGGTGGAGGGCGCCCCCTCCTGTCCAAAGAGCCTTGACAAGTTCTTTTGAATTTCCTCTGAGTTTCTCTTTGATTTTTTTGGTTCAGACTTTGATTTCACGCAGTTTAGTTTCTTTTGGAGATCCTCTGGAATGTTTGAGGGAGATTCCGTGGCGGGAGCCTCCGAACTCAAACGAGAGACCCTCGGCCTCTTCGATGAGCCGATCTGCGTCGGTTTTTTTGGGTTTGAGTCTGAGTTCGAGGGCTCGGAGGGCTTAGATTCCTCAGATTCTCGAGTTTTTTCTTTTGAGGATCTTGAGGACTTTGAGGATGATGTTGAGGACTTTCTTCGGCGTTTTGAGGGGTCCTCGGAGGACGAGCCCCCCGAGGGTGAGTGATCGCTTCGTCGCTTCGAGGATGAATTGTCGGATTTCTTTGGTTTCTTGTTCGATTCATCGGATTTTGAGGACTTGCGGTCATCTGAGCGGTGACGTTTCTTCGATGATTTTTCTGAGCGATCTTTTGACGAGGATTTGTGGGACTTGTGGGGCTTCTTGGGATTCTCGCGGGAATTGGGGGAGCTGTCAGAGGCTTTATCGGATTTCGAGGAATTCTGAGCGGTTTCTGAGAGCTCTGGGGATGGGTCAGAGCCTTCAAGGATGTCCAGCAAGTGCCGTCTGGCATCGGAATCTTTGGGGCTCGACATTTTCGATCCTTTTTCAGAGAATTTTGGAGAGTTTGAGGCTGATAAAGTCGTTTGAGCGATGTCTTGAGAGGTCTCGAGTGTTGAATTTTTTCTAGATTTCGAACATCCTGTGGGACTCGCGGGGGAATCTGAGGGTGAGGAGGGGGGCTGATGGTTTGAAAGAACGGTTTTTAAATTTTCTCCTTGTACGAAAAAGTCTCGCGGATTGTCTGTTATCGAAGGACTCTTGTTGGTGTCTGAATTTAAATTGCTCTCGGTGGGTAATTTCTCATTGGATGATGGTGAGGAAGAGCCTGAGGGGCAAGTCTCAATATCTGATAGGTCTACTGAGGGCGGCAAGGGTCTACAAGTCAATTTTATAGACCTTCTGGCAAACCTTTCAGTCGGTGATCCTGTACTCTCGTCTAAAAGCTCAGGGACTGGCTTCGATGATGCAACTGTCGTGTCCGGGATATGGTTCGGTGAGGACGAAGGGGTTGACTGTGATGAGGCGATTCCCTCGTCCACTTCGGAACTACATCTGGAACAGAAAATATTGAACTGAGTGGAAGGGTCGGACCCCAGGAGGGCTCCTTCGCGGGGAGGGGGGAGCGAGCTAATTTGGGCCCTTTTCTGTGACAATCTATTCTAGAAAGTGGAAGTGATTTTGTCCAAGTTTTTGATGCGTGAAATATTTGTGACTTCGTTGAGGTTTCATTAGGTGTTAGGGGTCAGCTGAAAAAAAAAATTCAGAAAAATTTTCAACGGAAACTTTAGGTCCTGTGAATGGGCTTCAGACCTTTGTGGCTAGAAAATAGAGACGAGAGATTGCCAATATCTTCAGAACGACGAGGGTAACCAGGATCTTTCGAAAGTTTCTCCATGGGGGGTATGAAGGACAGTCTTTCGAGATACTGACCCAAGAGTTGTTTCGAAGAGGTTTAGAGACGAATTTATTTAAAAAATAATAATTATTTATCTTAAAAAATTGTCATAAATTCTTAAAACGAGGGATAATAGTCTACAAAGGGATGAAAATTGAATTGTTTGAACACCATTCGATGGAGAATGAAATATTCAAATTTTTCAAAAGTCCTCAAGAATTATTGTTCCATTAAATACTCAAGTCAATACTACTAACACACAAAAACATAAAAATTCGACTATTCCTAGTACCTCCTTTCGAAAAATAAACATCTACTAGATGTTAATATAAAAAAAATTCATATTCCTTAACTACCTAACCCCCTAATTACCATAAAACCTGAACAAACAGAATAATTCAAGCATTAAAACCGCTTAAAACTCAATTCTCTCAAAGGGATTCCCGAAATATGTTCTACCTGTCCCATTGTTCGCTAGAGTGACTCGAGTCCGAGCTGGACACGACATTCTCGCCCATGGTGGCCTCATCTTCGCGATCGAGTCCTATTTTCTCCTCTTCCTTCCCCTCCGTAGTATCCATGACCACCGGCATCGGAAGTTCCTCCGGGAGAATCGTCTCCGCAGGCGCCTCCACCTTGACCTGATCCCCATCGACAACAGGCGTCTTCTTCAGCAGCTCCTCCATGCATTCCCTCTTCAGCTGCTTGATCCGCCGCGGGTCTAGCGCGAACGGAATCTCCGACGATCTTCTCCACTCCGGCTTCGGCCACTTCACCTTCTTCAGTGTTCGCCTATAAATCTGCTCTTGCGTCAGTGGCACCCCAAATTCCGCGGACAGCAGACGAAATTCATCCTTATCTCGAGCGCCCGTTATTTTCTCCGATTTTTTCCCCTCAAGTCCTGTACTCTTGTCCGCCATTTTGTCACGTGCCGCGGCCATCTTTGAATTTCCAGCCTTCAATTTTTCGTCTCCGTCAATCACTTCGCGAACGGTTCGCGCGTTCACGTCATTGCGACCCGGGGGAAACTTGTCATTAGGGCTATCCGCCATTTTGTTCTCTAATTTTTTCAATTTCTCAGCTATTAGCGAAACGCTTTGAGAATCTTTGGTATGTCTTTCCGGCTCGCTGGTCGAAGTTATACTGCGCGGCGGCGACGTTGACGAATTCGCCGCCATTTTGTCGACTCTATCCGCCATCTTGTTATCATTAATTTCGGGGTCTCGGGTGTTTGAGGATATGTGGGAGACGGATATCGATGATATACCCGTGTAAAATACAGGCGCATTATTACCCTCACCTTCATTATCCATTATCTTCGATCCGCGATACTTTCTGAATTATGCAATAAAAAAATGGGCGATTTAATCCTCGCAATCGTCATCCCATTTGAGAAAGAACACGAAAAATGGGAGAGGGGCGGGGCTTCGCACCAACCGTTAATGTCCAGAAAAAAAATTTGAAAAATTTTCCAAAGTTTGTTTTCCCAAAATTAAAAAACAATTTATTTAAAAAATTTTGTCTGTTGAATTTTTTCCACAAAATAAAAAAAAACACTCACATTGTTAATCTCTTTGTCGCCCCTCCAAACAAGCCCCTCACATTGTCGATAATTTTTCCCAGAATTTGAGTTAAAGCTGACATTTGAGAGAACCAAAAAAAAAATCACCTCGTATTTCAGTTAAAATAATCCCTCTTATTCTCACTTCAAACAAAACAATTCTGAGAAGTTTCCCGGTCGGTGGTCTATCGAGTAAACAACCGGCGTGGCATCGTTAACCAAAACAAAAGTGAATAGAGGAGACGTCCTTCACCGAAAAGTCCAAAACAATGCGACACAAATGTTCTCAAGCAAAAATTCGTTAATGTTTATCCATTGTCCCATGAAATTGTTAATTCAGTCAATTGTTATCACTGATTAGTCACAAAAATGCAAAAGCACACACATACACACAGGCACCATCACAAAAAGTTAGTCAAAATTTTCGGACGAAAAAAAACTCACGTTCTGCCTTAAATATGGACTCAACTCATTCTCCCCCGAAGAATGAATCATAATTAGTGGTTAATGGTAAGTTATTTGGCACGAGGTTTGTGTTATAGTTCATGGGGAGGTACGTCTCATAGGCCCTTCGGTCTCGCGTGCTCGAAGACGACTGAGGGAGGCAGAGGCACATCGCGTGGGCTGTGGCAAGCGTCAGCCGGAGATGCCTCGAGGTGTGGGGGAGGGGACTGTGAACAGTTTAGCCGCGCGAATGAGTGGAGAAGGCGACAGTGGCGCGGAGAGGAGGCAGGGGACGAGGAAAAGCGAGTTTAGAAGACAAAGAAAAATGTAGAAAAATTTTTACATTTTTCTTTTGAGGGAGAATTTTTTTTCTTATTTTAGGAAATTGGAAGAGGAAAATGGGACAAAATGGAAAATTAAGAGGAAGGACTGTTTGGCAGGTAGTAAAAGATAGCTTATTCAGGTGAGTTTTTTTCTTTTTTTTGTTGAGGGTTATAGTCTTAAGGGTTAACAGACCGTTGACTAAAAACGGAAAAATTGAAAAAAAAAAAATTTATCCTGAAACTGAATAAAAATCATTTCGATCTATCCGTCTATCTAGACAATTGTAACAAGAGAGAGAGAGTAGGAAATACCCGTGCCCCTCCGTCTGGTGTCTGAAGTAGTTGTTGACCGAAGGCCCTCGGTCCCATCCACAATAATTCCTCAATCATTGATCAAACACGATGACAAAAGCATAAGGATGGCAATATTTACTGAACAAATTCCCAAATTCGTGCATTCGTTTCTCATAAGATGGAAAAATTTTAATGGAATTTACTGAGAGAGTCTTTTGAAGCCCGTTACGGTGCAGCTCCTAGGGTCTGGGTCGGCGTCGGGAGAGGAACCGAAGAGGGGAGGGCAAGGGACCCAGGTAATGTTGTAAAACCCAAACACATGCGGCAGACATTTTTTCGAGTACGAACGAAAAGGGAAAAATATTCTGGTTTTCTCACAGTTTTTTTTTAGACATCCCAGGTAACGTGGAAGGGGTGCCTCTCCCCCGTTTTCTCAGGTCGTGAGGGCCATGGGAGGGGATCAAGATAACGGAGAGGGAATGGGGTTTTTCTTCAAGAATTTGGGGGACTGGGGAGTTATTTTTATTGAAGGAGGTCCAAGTGAAATATTGTATTTTTGGGATTTTTCAATTTTAGCAGTTGTTGACAATTGGTGAACATGAAAAGAACATGAATTATGGACATTGAAATTACTTCAAAAAACAGAATGTTGTTCTGTGAACTAATCCTATTCCAGTGAAATTCCTCGATTTTTTTAATGCCAAAAAAAACTTTGGACATCCTTAACGATTTTTCGAGGGTCGAGCCAAAGGGAGCGGCAAGAGCGATGGCGAGGGTTGGGCTCGTCACACAGGTAATGTAAGGGCATTTACCCCCTAATGTAAAAAAAGACAGTACACGCGTGGCGATTATCTCATATCGAAAAGCCGGAATAACTCGAGAACCAGAAGTGATACCGGGGGCTGTCGTTGCTTTATCCCACGGTAAATCTCTCGACCTAATTAATTGGGACGACCCCAACCCTCTAGCCTTCGCACGAAATTTAATTTCTCTGGTTACTCAAGGAAATGAGGAGAATTAATAACCCATGGATTTTATATTTGATGTTGATACTCACGCATGTTTCTCGATATTCAGTCGCTCTAATACAACTATCGGGCTTTTCGAGAGCTGACGCACGCATCGACGGACTCTTCTGTCCGATATCTTACCAGTTAAATTTCTTTTCGCCTAGTGAAAAAAAAAAATAATTTCATTAATTACTTTATAGCATTATTTTAATGACATAGAAATGCAAAAAGAAATTGGTTTTCCTTACAATTTCATTTTTTTTTCTTTCAATTGAAGTTTCGTTTTTTTGCAAAAACAAATTTATAAAAATATAATTTTTTCAAAATAAATTGATTATTAAAATATTTTTTTCGGCAAAAAAAATATTTTGTCTGTTGAAAAAAATTATGTTTTGTTAAAAGTAGTATTTTTTGTTTGAAAAATGGCATTTTTGCTAAAAAATTTGACATTTATTTTGAAATATTCGACATACTTTGGAAATTGCTTTCTCCAAATGAACTTTACGTTTCACATGTTTAATCACCCCCAACCATGACACGAGTGCTTTATTATACGTGCCCCTCGCGTTCATTTTGTCTTCAGGCCCCGAAAAGACTGGAACGCAGACAACAGGGGGGGAAAGGGAATGAGTATAAACCTTTCGTCCTTTAAGCAGCTGTACTTTCCCTCGATATTTTCCCGGGGAAAGCTATCTCGTCCGGCACCTACGGTGTCCGAACTGCGACTGTCCATAAAATTCGTAAAGCTATATGGGGGAAGCCCGTTTCGGGCCTGTTTGTAACTGGGGCATGTGTACGACGCGCGCACGGGTCCTTTCCGAACCCGCTTTTCATTGAATTTTCACGGGGTGCCTGAGGTCCATCGAGTAAATTTACGATATCTGCCAGAGAAAAAAGGCGTGAATTTTTAAAGTGCCCACAATTGTTCGGAATAAGTCGAGTGAATCTCTCTACCAAGAAATCTTCTTTTATTGTTAATCTGGAACTAATGTGTCGTAAATTCATTTTTGTCATTTACTTTCTGAAAAGGGAGAATTTTTCGCATTTCCAAAATTAAGGACTGGAAAAAATTGCAAGTTAAAAAGAGAGTACTGTATATAACTGTGAGTTGAATGAAGACAGAAGATTAAAAAATTAAGCAACAAATGGCGGAATGAAGGGCAGACTGTAAATTCCAACGTTTCAGTTTTGAAATGGAAAACGATTCAAGTCGACTTGGCTGTTATCTTCGAATCTAAGTCAGATAGCGAAATTTTTGTGATTATGTTTTTTGGAGAGCAAACTGAGAGCTATGAAAAAGGTTTATACAAAAATTCTGCCATCTGCCGTAGATTCCGAGATATTCATTGAAAACTGAGCAATAATCAACATTAACTTGAATGTAAGTAGTTTTAGAGGCTTGCATAGTCTTTTTGAAGGCAGAATATTTTATCTTCCTTCCTAGTGCAGTAAAATAAAATAGTCATGTCTATTGTTATGTCTATTGTCTAATGTTATTCAATTAATTTCATTTATGTATTCGTTTATTCGAGTCAACATAGGGAAGCCAATTATAAGACCTATAAATGGGGGAGAAATAATAAACGCACTGCGATTTACATATTCGCGCAAGGTAATGTACGTAAGAGGTTTAATATAAAAGAAGTTAACATAAATGTCCAGCGGCAAAGAGAAGAGATCCAGATTATAAACATAAAAAGGAAAGGGGTCGTAATTGTTTTATGTGACATTAATAACAATTTTTTGCGGTTTTATCTGCCATATTCACTAGAGAGTCCATTGGATCGTTGTAAATATCTGCATCAGGGTAACGGCTAAATAATCAATTCAGGGTAGTATAGTGCCTGCATTGGAGAGGATAAAGCCATAACGTAAGCCTCCACATGTGGCTGAAATTTTAAGACTCCATCGAACGAAAACTAATATTATTTATTTATTTATTTATCACTGCATTGTAATACATGACATTATTCAATTCAAAACCTGATAAAGCTCAATAAATCAACAATAAGGAAAGATAAATCTAATTAAAATTAATTCAGCAATTGAACGGATATAATTGAGTGAAAATTTTGGAAAAAAATTCCGCCAATGAAGACGAAAAAGTGAAAGAAAAATGTCACCCTCAGGTATTTTACGACTGTCCAACCCCGAGGGTGACCGATCCTCTTAGATACGATAATTTGAGCAGCTTGTAGCAATTATCACCGCGGCGACATCAGAAGCCCCGTCCCATCCTGCGGAGGAAACGTTGTCCGATCTCCAATCAATGATAGCCTTTTTACGATTTTCGTGGGGTTCAGGGATTGGCCCACGTCAGGCATCACTCTACCTCCGTTACGTCGGAAGTCACACGAGGGAGGACGCAACCGTCCTCATTGGTAGATCAGCCCTTGCGTCAGCTACTATTTGTCACTATTTGAAAAGTATATTTTATTTACTCGCCTGACTTCCAATAAACCAATAAAAATGAAGCAAAAAAAATATTGCAAAATCTCGAGAGGAATCTACATTTTTTTAACTTGGAAAAAAAATTCTGATGGCAAAATGTAAGGACCGCGAGTTAGAAGACAGCCAGAGAGTCATTCGTTATTCACTCGCCTCTTAATATCCTGACTCATCACTATGCAACTTTTTATTCGAAAAAAATGATCAGTGTCATTGTGATTACTGAAAAAGTCCATGATCTAGTGAAAGCGTTACTCCAAATTACTACTATTTTTAATTTATCTTGCCGTGGATATTTATCTCTGTATATGTTCAATAAATAAAATAAATAAATAAATAAATGAATAAATAATTAAAAAATAAAAATAAATAACAGCCTTCACCTTTAACTTAATTTTTCGCGGTATGAATCGCAAAAGTATGGGACAAATTTTGTCTTCCAGGTTTGCAATTTCTTCTATCGGATGCATCAGGATGCGCATTCCCAACTCGGAGAATGTCACCCCAGGCCTCTGCGGCTGGCGTTACGTTTATGGCTCATGTGGGACGGAGGAGCAATAATACACGGTTGGAATTTTTGCGCGTTTTATGTGAACATAAAACATTATTTTTTTTCCCCGCTTGGGGTCACTTCAATTGGGTAAATTTAAATACACGCCAGTTGAGCCATCATTCTGCGGTTTCCATCATAAAATATAAAAAATGCGGGGATCAGTTTACGGCTCGGTTACGGAGTTTAATCTGTTGAAAAATTTATGGAAGCAAATTTTTTAGTTCCAATGGGGAAACATTTTCGGCGAGAGCACTCCACCGATGAGACGTACAATTTCACGTATTGGGGGGCCAGGGAAAGAGATAGAGAGAGAGAGAGAGAAGTCGGCGTGAAGGTCCCAACGTCATTATTCAAGGTAGCTCGCCACCTCACGAGGCGCGTGCCGTGTTTCGACGTTCCCCGCGTCCAGGATAATAAGACCCGTTGATCATACCTTAATTATGATGTTGATTATACACCCAAAATGTTTACGATTATTCGATAAATAATTTTCACAAGTACAATCAACATTATCTGAAGACTTCCAAATATTTCCAATGTTTGTAAACTGAAAAAAAAAAATGAAAATAATTTTAAGCGAAAACAATCTTTTTAAAAACAGAAAAAAGTCATCGCGGAAAGGGGCTGCGAGAAAATTCTGAAAAAAATTGGGAGCTTGTTGTCCAAGTTCTCCAATTGTAGAAATAAATACTATAGGCGATGGAATGAATAATGTGCGCTAGGATTGAACTTCAACTTCTTTCATTTTATACGTATCGCACGAGTGAGAGCACTCGACGAAATAAAAATCTCTGGGGATGCCAGTCGCACGGAGATGAATATTAATAACAGTGTACGTGTCACCCAGCGATAATAACCAGAACTCTTTCTCCCCGTTGAATCATTGTTTATGTTTATGTTAACTCCCCAATGGTCTCAATGGTCTCAACCAAGTCGAGTTGTTTTGAAATCGTAATCTCGATTAAACAACTCTTTGACGTGAAATTGTATGGGCGATGGTGTTTAATGTAAGCTGGGGACGACGGTGACCCCTGGAATGAATCAAGAGGAATAACAATTTTCAACTTCTCGAGGGGAATTGGTACATCGACTGGAATTTTGTCACTCAATTTCATCCGTGGAATATTGAATTTTTGAAATTTTGAAAAATTACAAAAATTCAATTTTCCATTTCGTAAGAATAAAAAATCATAAAATCGGAAAATCGGTCAAATACAGGACTTCCATTCGGAATCAAAAATGCAATTTTTTTTGCGTAAATATCCCACGGAATGGAAAAAAGGCCGTCCTATCCCGCTGATGTTGCCACGGACACAATCGCGGACGACACAAACCGGAAAAATTTAAAGTCGAGTCTCAGATTTTTCAAAAATTTTTTTTTTACTTTCGGCTGTTCCGGACAGGCAAAGGCCAATGGTACGACTCATGTTTCTGAAGACGTAACTCTCGTAGTTGGCAGACATTTACGAGGGACCGAGGGGAGCCTCACAGCGGGCCCCTCTCAGAAACATTTCGGCGTTTTAACGGACGTAAAAAAAAACGGTTCGACGCAAGAGACTAAACAAGTGCCCGGGCAATCGTAACCCGAGCGGACTGTCTTGTGTGAGACGGGAGAAACGAGAGACGAAAAGCATCGATAGGGAACGCCGTATTGTGAATATTCACTTCGGTTTGTAATGAAGTGACTTTCGGACGCAAAATGTGCTGATGGACGACGTGTGCGGCAGCAAAAATATGCTGAGATAACGTAATTCGAGGAGTCACCAGTGAAATATTAGTGTCGGCTATAAAATATCAGTGAAACGTTTTGCGCTGTGATGACAAATTTATTTTACTGCGCATAAATTCTTTACTATTTTTACACTCGTGTCGAAATAATTCTCAGTATTTTCTTCTGTTTTTTTCGAAAATCAAGAATTTTTTTTTTGTTCCATTCTATTTTTTAAAAGAAAAAAATCGAAGGGTCCGATTTTTTAATCAAATTTCCTCAACACTTCATAACAATTTCCCACCATCGAAATGCAGAAATATTTTCAGTCCCGCGTCTGCACTCGACTGTCGCCGGAAGTTGCTTAGCGACCGTGTTTTATACTTGTGCAAGCGAAAAGTGAGATAAGGGTTAAAGTGACTCCTCCCCTCGCAATTTGTCATTATCTCCTGATTATTCCCGACTAAACGCCGCGATAATTCACGAGCAATCGACGTCGCAGAGTCAATGTTTGTTTTTATTTTTTTTCTTTCCGTTCTATTTCCATCATCATCTCTCATCATTTTATTTTCACTTTTTTCTTATCTCGAGTGAATCATGAGAACAAGAGTAACTCAACAACTGGATCAACTGCGCCGATAGAGCAACATCTGATCGAGGGATGGATCTACCGCATGATCAGACACTTATAAAGTACCTGATAGGTTAGATTAAATTATGAAAATATATATTTTTTCAACAGTGTTTCCTCATGAATAAAAAATGGAAATTTTAGAAATTTTTTTTCGTTTTAAAATTTTTTCCCAATATTTTTTCTCGAATATAACCACTGGGGCAAAATGGGCGATATTTTTTTCATTTCGTGAGCAAACCTCCGATCCATCGAATGGGGTCACTATCGACCCCACGACCCGTTTTCTTCTCAGGATCAGATCTGATGAATATTCATATTTTTCTCATTTTTCTGGACATTTTTTTGGTTTCATTTTTCATGATTTTCAGTATTTCCACAGCGGGGGGAGTGGGGGGAATAGCAACAACTATTTTTGGACATCCGTTGGACACTATTAAAACGAGAATGCAAGCAGCACCTGGGGTTTACAAGAATACAACTGATGCTGTTGTTAGAACTGTGAAACGAGAAGGTGCAATGGGATTGTACAAAGTGAGCTTTATTCGTAATCTGGATTGACTGAAAAAAAATTCTCGGGCTTTTGAATGGGATCATTATTATAGAATATACGAAAATATATGATGAGATGAAAATTCAATAAATTTTTTCACGTATATTTTTTTTATCGGGTTTTGCCGGTTTGAGTCCCTGCAATATCATATCTAAACAATAAAATTTTCCAAAACAAACAGAAACTCTCATGTGCTCAAATAACACTAGATAATGCTCCTTATCAATTGGGAAAGATATTATCACAAGGAGAAAACCATTCAATTTTCAGCTTTGAGTGAGATAAAACTTCAGGGACGGACATACAATATTTTATGTCACTACATGACAAAAAATTTAAGCCAAAAGGATCAATGGGCCGTGCGTATGCAGTCTCTACACTGTTAACAAATTTCAATAAATTGAAATATCAATAAGTGATAGTTTCATTGAAATTTCCGGGAATTTTGTCATTGAAAATTCATGATTTTCCTGGGAAAATCCATGGAAATGATAAATTTTAATTGAATTATTCCATGAAAATTAATGGAAATGGAGGGAAAATGAAGCAAAAATATTCTTGAATTTTCATTTCCTTGAAATTTCGTATTGGAAATTCATGTACACTATGAAATTTTCCTCTTTTTTCCGCTGATAAATCAGGAGTGTCCTTGAATTTTCAGGGAAACTTGAAATTTCCAAACTCAATTTTTTACGCCCTCTGACATTCCCAAAAATTGATCCCCCTCATTAGGGCATAACCGCGCCCCTGATTGGAATAGTTCCAATATTCGCCCTGAGTTTCTTCAGTTTTGGTCTTGGAAAGCGACTCCTCTCAGCCCCCAACAACGAGCCTTTGACTCCACTCCAATTGTTCCTAGCTGGAATGTTTTCCGGTCTCACCACAACCGTATTCAGTGTCCCCGGGGAGAGAATCAAGTGTCTCTTACAAATGCAGGTCCCTTGCATTCCCAATCTTGCCCCCAAAATAATACTCACTAATTTCCGAAACTTTCGCCCGTTATTTTCAGACAAAAGGAATCAAATACAGTGGATTCAAGGACGCGGTATTAAAACTGTACCAGGAGGGGGGCATCAGGAACCTGTACGTCGGCACCTGTGCGACACTATTGAGGGATGTACCTTCTGGTGGAATTTATTTCGGCGTTTACGAACTAATGATGAGAATTGAGACCGAAAACGAGCATCACGTAATACTTGTGACCCCTCCCTTTTCACTATTTTGGCGATATTTGGAAAAGGGGTGGGGGTAGAGGATTGAGTCATGTCTCATTCGATAGATCGGAAAATTCTTCATAAAATAGAAATAAAAAAAAAACAATTTTGCCCCAGTGGTTATTGAGAAACCTGCGAAAAACGAAAAACAAAGTCCGTCCCAATTCGTTTTTTTAACGATTTCGGGACGATCGTCAAAGATAAAAGGCCTTATAATCAGGGTTTTGGATCGACAATTTTTCCGACTTTCGAGAGAACTTATTTTCGATTATCTATCCCATCAGGCTCTCGAGATATCCACATTTTTGTGAAAGCAAGTCAACTGGAGTGGATCTGCAATTCGAAGAAATCGTTAATTAATGATTGACTAATCTTTCAGGTGTCGCTCTGGCAGCCGATGTTCGCAGGTGGTGTGGCAGGTATCGGCAATTGGCTGGTCGCAATGCCGGCGGACGTTCTCAAGTCTCGTCTTCAAACATCAACAATGGGCAAATATCCCAAGGGCATGCGTTCAGTTCTCCCTGAGCTTTTACGAGTGGAGGGCATTGGTGCCCTCTATAACGGTCTAATACCGGTCATAATACGGGCATTTCCGGCCAATGCCGTGTGTTTTCTTGGCATTGAGTTCGCAATTCAGATCCTCGATGATTATTTCCCGTGGATCTAATGATCATACTATAATAAAAAGACTGAATAAAATTTTTCAATTATCACTTTTTTTAAATTTTAATAACCCTCACATCATCTTTAAAATCAACAGACTTGAGAGGTCCATAATTAAATTTTTCCCTCCCTAGGGTTCAATAAATGTTCATACATTTCGAAAAATATAATTTTATTTTATTATCTGTACAACAACGAAATCATTACTATGAATATCAATAAGACGGTGACAGTATGTGCTGCTAAATCCGCTCTAAAAGCAGTATCCTATCGTTGGATTGACAGGGCTATCAGGCGGACGTTACGAAACACTTACAGTCCAATTGCCTCCCGACACTACTGACCCGGGAGTAACTTATTAAAATCTGGCGCACGCACGCCCAAGGTCTCGAACATCTCCATTTGGTAAAGTTGGTGGATGTTGCATTTTCATGAGAGTTTGGGCCGGAAGTGGTTGCCACTGGTCGAGAAATTACGTGACTTTAATTTTTAGAATGATTTCCAAAAGTTCGCGGGGCGATTTCCGGTGATGTTGCCTCATCTTTCAAGGGATGAGTTCGGTTTATTGAGGGTGCGTTTCGGAATCAACTACTGTAGCTGCAGTAAAGCGAAATTAGATAGGGTTACAGTACTGCTACTGCTACTAAGTCGATTGCGAAACGCGCCTTGAGTCTGAGTCATTGGAACTGTGAATTGCCGCTTTTTGGATCGCTTGTGGACTGTTATCCGACTGCTCAAGGGGTTGAGATTGATTCGAGTGATGGAAGAAGTCGTTTTGAGTCGATTTTGACTCAGAAATCGCGGTTGAGTCAATGTGAGTCACTCGCGAATGTGACGCAAGCTCATGATTCGTCATTGAGTCAAATGATTTCACTTCTCCATCTTTCTCCGACTCAAAAATCAGGTTTGAGGTATTAACTGACTCGCCAACTTGATTCTGCAACTTGAGTCACTCGGAAAGAGGAAATTCAACTTGACTGACTCCCGATTTTTTCTCCGACACGTCACTCGAATTCAACTTAATTTTTTCCTAAATCATCAACTCTTCAACTTCAAGGTCATCCTGACTCACTCCCTTCCTCATAAACGACTCAAAATTTCTCGAATATTCAGAACCGATAAAACTGATATCATTATCAAATATAGATGATGACTCAACGGTAAAGGCGTGCCTTATCTTACCACCGGACGCGCTTCCACGAAATGCCGATGCTGCTTCTCACGGGCTCAACTTCTCTTCGCAAACTAATGATCGCGTTATTTCGGGTGATGATGACATTGCATCCGCCTCTGTCTCATCTCTCCCGTCACACTCTCTCGTTGCTGTTGCGTCTTCATTTTCAAGGACTGACCCAAAGGGCATGACAATGAGATTTATGATGACGCCTGGAGTTATTAATTTTTTTCCGGAGAATTTCATTGTCGGCGGTAGCCTTTGAATTTTTATGGTTCCGTCGCGAGTTGTTGGAAAGGGCGAGAAGGTTTCAAGGTTGAGAGGTTCGAGTCAGAGATTTGGAGTCTTTTGTTATCGTTGAGGAATTCCTTCCGGGAGTATTAAGGATTCGAGGAATTGTTTGTTTTATTTCCTCTTCAGACCAGGGGGGTAATGGGAAGGGGAACTCAAGGGCATGATTTATGGTCGGAGTTGAGGAATTCGTTCTAGGAATTTTAGATGTTTGAGGAAAGGCTTGTTTTCTTGGAAAGGACGAAGGGGAAATCAAGGTCAGGACTATTATCCCCCTAAAATTGAAGACTTGTCATTGAAATTATGGAGTTTCTCATTTTAACAGAGGAATTTCTACCTGGCATTTTCGAGACTTCAAAAAGTTCCTCTAATTCCTTCACTGGATTCTGTAGAAAATAGAGTTTCCTCTCGGAGTTCAGGATCGACAGTTGAAATTCTAGAATCTCCCAGCACAATTGAGGAATTCCCCTCTAGAAATTCCGAGACTCCAGGAATTCTTTGACCTTCCTCCCGTTCTCTAACTTCGTTTTTAAAATCTGACGAAAAAAATTCACTTTGAAATTCATAATTTGTCACCGGGTTTCTACCCGGAATTTCCGCGCCTTCAACAATTTTTTCCCCCTCTTTCCTCCTCCCTCCAATCTCTTGTTTAGATCCTGCAGAAAACCGAGATTTCTCATGAAGTTTGGTATCTGCAATTGGAGTTCCCGAGGAATTACTCTCTAGAATTCCGGATACTTCGGGAGTTCCCCTGCCATCCTCCAGTCCTTTATCATTCTTCCGGTGATCCAGAGAAAACAGGACTTTTCTCTGACGTTGATGACCCGTCACGGGAAATCTCGAGTCCCTGGTTACATCCAAGTGTTTCCGTCTCGGAATTTCTGAGCCCCGAGGAAATCCTGGATTCCGTGACGACGCCCCACCAACAGGGCGTTTCGTCATTACATACATCCCGTGCTGATCTGGGTAATCATGAACGGGAGCGGTATACTGATACTGCCCTTGTTCTGGAGCTTTGTCCTTCTCATCTTTTGCAGCTTCACCCTCTCCACCAGCTACCTGCTCATGCGGGACAACTTCAACATGACTCGTCACGTGGGGCGTCCGCTTCATGGTCTGCAGGTGATCCATGTCCTGTCCGATGATAATATCCCCCTGCTGAGGGGACATCTCAGACCTCGGGGACGGCGAGACTCCTGGTGATTTAATCGTCTGATCCGCAATTGAAACCGTCGATGCATTCCTCGGGCGCCATCTGTAGTTCTCCGGATCCAGTGCCAGGTATATCGACGCCCACATCACAACCCCCAGCATTACAAAGTAGCAGCATATGTATGAGCACCATAACTGCCTTCTGGTCATTCGTCTTGATGACTTGTATCGCGCTGTTCTTTCGATCCACATCATCGAAAGAGGTTCTTAACAGACCATGCTGAAATTTCTTAGTTCTGATCGTCATTTTGGGGAAATACAGTTCAACTGAATTTTTTTAATCTTGAGCGGCAATGTTCATGGTATGAATTTTTACGGTTGCTATTTTCAAATTGTTGATTTCTCAATTCAAAAAACAGAAATCCAAATTTTTAGGAGGGAAAAGAGACTTGCGGTTTATCTCTCTCTC